CACACACACACACACACACACACACACGCACACACACACGCACACAGGAATAGTAATGTAAAGAAACAGAGATAGTTTGCAATAATCCCCACAAGACATAAATAAACTTGAATCTACTTTTGTCTCACCTAAACGTTCTGTGTGTGTGTGTGTGTGTGTGTGTCAGATCTCTGGATGTGAGTGGCTGTAAGGCAGTGACAGATGTAGGAGTTCAGTCTCTGACTCTGGGATGTCGACGACTTCAGCAGCTGGATCTCAGCTCCACTGGTGCAGGAAACAGAGGGTAGGAAGACGACAAACTGAGCTGTGGTAGAGTTTTATGTGGGATTGATGGGGATGATTGTCTGTGCAAAACTCCTGGGGTAACCAAAACCCTTTTTACAACTTAAGCTGTGTTTTGCATCTTTTGTTCAGCAAAGAAAATGATGAGTAAAATGCTGACTTACAGAAATAATGTGTGCGTGCGTGTGTGTGTGTGTGTGTGTGTAAAACACAGGGTTACTCTGTTGGCAAATTACTGCAGTAAACACCTCCAAACTGTCAAACTCAGCTTCTGCCACATTACCTCAGAGAACATCCTGAAACTCTGCAGACGCAGCAAGAGGTGAACACACACGTGCATAAACGATTACGCGTGATAACTTTTTGCTGCAGCTAGAAAACCTAAAAAGCCCTGCAACATATCATGCAGCACAGTTACACCACATGTTGTTTCTGTGTTTTTCTCTCTTTAGGCTGAAGTTGCTTCATGTCTATGGCTGTGCACATCTCCCCAGTGAGAGAGAGATCGGAAAAGTTAACGCGATAGTTAAAGTTTATCCTCTGTCGTGACTCACACACGAACATCTGCACAAAACGGGACGGACACACATACCGAAAAGCAAGATTTAACCGAGAAATGGAAAATAATCAAACAGTATGAATACAAAAGGAGCAGCATCATGCCAGTTTACATATTTTGCATTTATTCTTGTGGTATCACACGGAAACATTAGGTCTGCTGAGTCTCAAGGAGGATCATTACTTATGTTCTGATATTAATAAAAACAATGTGAATGTGTCTGCATGTGTTATGTGTTTGTAGATGGATGTCAGATTTGTAGACTCTTACAAATTGTTTCTACTACTTTAACTTTTGATCAAGCTCAATAACATGTTATATTTGCCTCCACTCAAATTTGCAGAATCCACATACAGAGAATTGCAAATTGCTCTAAAAATGGAAAAAAAATATTGAATACTGTCTTTTCTTATGTGATGATATTCTGGATTTATTTTTTAACTTGTTATTTGGAAACAAAAAGTTATTTTAGGTGCTTGTAACTTGGGAAGAGCCCGGCCTCGCTGTTATCTCTTTGCTCGAGGGATTCTTTGCACTTTGATGCCAGTCATGGATTTACAGCATTTGCTACACCATGTTTGAGTACACAAGTCACAAAAAAGGAGTGAGATAAGAGGAGGAGGGGAGGATATAAAAGTGAGGTGGCAGAGGCGTTGGGACGAATCTGGAAACTGGAGGGTTTTTTTCTTTTCGACGATGGGATTTTTGTAGACATGGAGCAAAATGTTTGACCTGCTGCCACCAAACAACTGGATTGAAACCTGAGCCTCACATGAAAGAAATATAATGTTAAAGTAAATGTCTTTAAAGTTACAATTCAAAAGGTTGGGTCAAATTTTTTATTACACTTCTAACTATCTATCGTAGCTGCTCCTTGATATTAAAAAGCAACAATATGGCCTCATCAACAAATGGCATGAGTGAAGAAGAAAAAACTCGTCTGACTTTGCTCTTTCACGCCTACGATGTGGATTACTCAGGCTGCATTGAAAAAGATGAATTCATAACTATTTGCCAGGAGCTTCATGTCCCGTCCCAGGAGGCAGAAAACATATTCACTCGCCTGGACATCGACAAAGACGGAACAGTGACTTTAGAGGAGTTCCTCAGCGGCTTCAAAGAACGGAACCAGCAGGAGGAGGAGGAGGATGGCCGTGAAGAAGAGGAGGAACACTCCCCAGCTGTGGAGATATTTTCAAATAACAAGGAGAAGATCATGTCCAGGTGAGAGAACAGTCATGTAAATGCAGTGCGTGAAAAGGATGAATAATAATTTTTTTCTATTTATGAAAAAAAAAGATTTCTCACAAAAGAAATTGGAAACATGTTTTTTTTTTTATCTTTAAAAAGGTTTATAAAGAAATGAAGTGTTTTATCTGATGCCAGGATCCCTGAAATAATTCACCAACATTTCTTTGTCCAAAATCATTGATTTAGACGTTATACATGATGGATATACAACATGATGTTCACCTAAACTGAAATGTGTCACTTTGAAAGTCTCATTCAGTCAGTGTGATGTCAATTTCATTCCTATGCATTTCACCAATGTCTACCAAAACTAATTGAGGGACACACGAGGTTGAATTGGGGCCTTCAGTGTCTTTCTGTGGTTTAATCCAGAGCTACATGGTGCTGGCTAACACCTGGTGAAAAAAAAGAGGTGGGAGGGTCGTCACATAACCGAGTCATAGCTCTTGTTCTGGCCTACAGGTGATGTGGATTTATAAACACACTCAATAACACTTAAAGGTACAGTGTGGAGAATTTTATGATATCTAGTGTTGAAATTGCATGTTGCAGCTGAACACTCCTCACCTCACCTCAGCCTCCCCTTCCAAACATGAAAAATAAACTGTGGTAACCTTTAATTGTCATAAAACCTCAAAAGGTGTTTAGTTTGTCCAGTCTGGACTAATGTAAAAAACATGGCGGCCTCCATGGAGAGGGTCCCCTCGATGTAAATATAAAGTATTTAAATATAAAAGGCCTTTTCTGGGGTAAAGAAAACTACAATTCATACAATTTAGATGAAATGAACTAGTAAAAACATCATGAGGATTATTCTGCCAATAGTTCCCTTTCACCTAAATCTTAGACATGGCTTAGAACATGGCTCCAGACAAATCAGTCATGTGATTATTGACCTGTGGAATCATTTTCTAAGATGGAGACTGTATCTGTGTATATTTTGCATGTTTTATATGTATATATGTACATGACACTTGAAAACTAAACTAAACATTTTAGACAGTGTTCTTCTTCTTCATCTTTTGGCTGCTCCCTTTTCGGGGTCGCACAGCGGATCATCTGCCAATATATCCACTGCCCCTCCTATTTGTGATCCGCATGTTTGTTTTGGCACAAGTTTTACGCCGGATGCCCTTCCTGACGCAACCCTCACCATTTATCCGGGCTTGGGACCGGCACTAGAGCTACCCAGAAGTGTATCCCTAGTGGCTGGTTTAAACATTTTAGACAGTAAAGGAGTTAAAACAACTTTATAATATCACTTTACACATAGAGAACATATCTCAGAGAAAACTAGTATTTACTGTTTTGAAGGAAAACTAATATATATTATGTAAATTTTGCAAATGAATTAATTAAATTTGAACGCTTCCTCAACAGTTTTGTTATACAAACTAAACTAAGCTAAGCTAACTAAATTACCTATAGTCATTTTAGCCAGAAAATTAGTTACCAAGCATGACATTTTCTAATTTTATGATTTTATCATTTATATTTAAATTAAACATTATTATTTATCTTATTCGATTTTATGTTTAGTGCAATTTTAGCATTGTTTATATATATATATTATCTTAACCTTCTTTAATTGCTGTCTTATCTATTAATAATTGTTTTAATATGATTTTTTTTACATCTTATGTTTTGCAGATTAATAGAGTGTGTAAAACCTTCAGGTTGTAAGATTACACAGGTTGATAATCTGTGGATCTCTGGTTTATAAAGTTAATTCAATCCATTACAAGGTGTCAGCCTTTCACCACAATGAGAGCACTTCCATTTGGCCTCCAGCCCAGACCTATTATTCTGTCACACACACACACACACACACACACACGCACGCACACACACACACACACACACACACACAAACACACAGGTAGTTGCTGTACCTGAGTCAGACAGAGCAGCTGTTCAGTTCTTCTCTGCTGAAACAAACTGGAAACTTGTTTGTTGAACAGGAGCAGAACTTGTCCTGAGCATTTAGACATTTTGGAACGGATTAACTTTTACCTAGAGATGTTTTTACGCACTGGTATCGACACGTTTGGATAAGTTTGGCAGATCAGGAGAATACAACACTTTCTCTTCTAGGTTTCCTCGTCACCTTAACCCGTTGCACCGCCTTCTCCTCCTTGCAGCCAGCCCCAGCCTTCCATCAATGGAATGAGCGCGGAGGAGCGTGACCGACTGCGCTCCCTCTTTCACGCCTACGACGTGGACAACTCGGGCCGCATCGAGAGGAACGAGTTTCTCACCATCTGTGGGGAGCTGCAGGTGTCCGCCGCCGAGGCCGACCGCATCTTCGACAAGCTGGACGTGGACAACGACGGCACCGTCACCCTGCAGGAGTTCATCAGCGGCTTCCACGACCGCTACGGGGAAGACATGGAGTCGGACGGAGGGGACGTGTCCGTCGCCTGGGAGCACTTCGAGGAGAGGCTGGGCGAGCAGGCCAAGTTCATCCCCAGGTGAGGGCGCACGGCAGCTTGTGCCAGTGGGTGTTGGAAACATATGGAAATGTTCAGTGTGATTTGAATGTGTTGGAGCGATGATAGCGACACTTCCAATTGTCTCAACAGGGAAATTCACATATAAGCCTTCACACAAAGAAAAGAAACAGCCAACAGTTGACTGTGGGAAAGGGTCCGAGCATATATCAGTGTTTGTGCCTTTGAGTAACAGGTTCCATGTGTGGTCAATAAAACAATGTCAATAATTATTCAAATATAAATGTCAACAATAGCGTTAAAAACAAAAGTTCTATATGTTTACATTGATTTAATGCTGCATTTTCACATCGTTGGTCTGCCATTAAAAAAAATGTTTTGGGTGTTGTTCCCATAAGAGTTTAAACCCCCCACCCTTTAAACTTAACAGAAACAATAATAAGACATTTATCACGACTTATTGACTTCGACTGATAAGAACATTTTTATTTTGATATCATTTTTGGCCATATCGTCCAGCCCTAACAGTCACATGCAGTTCATTGGTGTCAGAGAAGGAAAGTGATCTTTGCCCCCCCCCCACAGGAATCATTATAACCCAAAGATAAATACGTTCTCATGTTGACTGAGGTGTATCTCTTCCACTTCATACAGTATATGTGAGGGTGATCAAGTTGAAACATGATTGTTCATTTGTCGTATGGTAGAAAATGATTATTTTATCAGTTAAATCATTTTTCTAAAGCTATAACGTTTTAAATGACTATGATCTGTGTTGTTGATTTTAAAAGGCCCTTTATGGGAAAGTGTGATGGACATTTGACATCATTTTACAAACCGTTAATCAAGAGGAGCTTTTTAACTGGTCAGCCATTGAGTGAGCTATAGAGCAGTGGTCTGGTCGTGTTTGTGCTCATGATGCCAGAGAAAACAGGGACAGAGGCTTGGAGAGTGGTTTTCACACAGTGTGGGTACCACACCTATAATTCTACTACATGGGAGCAGCTCTCTCTCCAAGTCGTTGTTTGTGGACTCAAGCTGGAAACAAACAAGAATAATTCCACCTGTACACGCCAAGGGATTTGACGGTGGCTCTAACCAAAGCAGTTTGAACATGTGCTGCACACACACAGGATCATACCCCCATGGCATTATGCCAAGCAGAAGAAGTGGCCTATCAGATCACCACTGTACGTCCTTGATGTCCATGGCACGGAACCAGAAGAACACTCAGTCCACAGAGTGGTGCTGTTGATGCAGAGAACTGGGCCACATAGCAGGCCACTGCCCAGCAGTAGCCCAACAAGCTCAGCTTCGCAGAGCCTCTGCGGCCATCTGGACACAATGACTATACCTTAATAACAACCTTCATGGTCCCCAATGCAGACCACCATTTATTCTGTCCACCCTGGAGCTCTACCTGGAACCCCACCTGCCCAACACCATGGTCACTGGCGAGCTCCCCAAGATGCAAGGGAAAGGGCTTCGATCAAAATGTGGACCTGGACCTGCTGGCCAGGTGGGAGGCCACGGTGGGCATCACACACTCTTCCTGGATTCTGAGGCCGTGGAACAGGTCCTTGTCTTTGCCACCTGGGAAGTGTTGGTCGAGGTCTATCTGTAGCTGGGTATCAAGAGGACTTGGACTACACAGCTACACCCCCCAGAATGAGGGGTTGGTGGAATGGATCTACTGCACCCTGGACATCCAACTCGCTAAGTAATTTGATCAGGTTTCAACTTCAATTTTCTATGGATCAGACACTGAATGATTGATAATGTTCAATCAATTTTTACCCTCAACAGATACTGTTTTAATGTTGTTTGACAGTGATATCTGTAGTAAGGGTTAAGTGCATGCAAAAGTAAAACCAATGAAAAATGGACAACAACAAAACTCAGTTGGAAAACAGGGTTTATTTCCAAACTGAAATTAATTTGATTCTTTCTTTCTTCCAACGTTCTACAACTTAACAAAGCCTGCACTACTTATTTATATTTCCAAACATCTTGTTTCCAACATTAATGTTACATATTATTGTCTGTAGCAGAGAATATCAGATTTAACACACACTAGGTCTGCCCTACTTTTCATAGTTCTGAGCATCATCACTTTGCAATGTTTCGGTTAAGAGCTTGAGTCGGTCTGCCGTGAAAAGACCAACTGACTGTCAGTAAGACAGGGTCAATATCAACTGCAACTCATATAAATAGCTTAGTGTCCGTCTTTTAAATGAGCCTCATGCATCTGTAGTTCATCTAATCCATCATTTCAAATCAGTCATTCTTTTCTGATTTTTGATTATTATTCTACTTAGTTACATTTCTGGTATAACCTTTCAGTGGAGGCATTAAAGAATTGTCCAGATTCAAAAGCTTTGAATTCATTTTTGTGAATTCTTGCACAACTGCCGGTGCGTAGACAACATGTTCAGCATCTTTTCTAGAAATAGTGACACCCATGTTTGCTCTTAGCTGCTGATTTTTGTGTTAGCATATGTCTTTAATTGTTTATATTTTTATATATCATCTTTTTGTGTATGTTTTTGGCCCCCGGCCTGGCATGGGACTCTTCCTCGCGCTGCTTTGCTGTGGCATCGGAACATCGATGGTCATAGTGGTACCGTCTGCTAAATACACCCTCTTATCCCTAAACAGTCTGAGTCACTGCCACAACAGTCAGCTGAGCAATGACAACATGGAAAATATAGCACACAAGACACAGTGTCTGTTTATCAGTGGATGAAAGAAGATTTTGTGTGCAAGACGGAAGCATAAGGAGCAAATCAATCAATTAGGGTCCTGATCCATAACTTTTTAATGATTATGGCTGAAAGTATTGAGTTATGTATTTTTTTGAACAATATTCAATCTCTCAGCTGACTGAGGCAGTGACTAAAATTATAAGGTATCAGACTGTTCACTGAAAAAAACATCCCTTCGCCAAATATGACTGAAAGATGATGATCTGGTTATGTCATATTTGTTTTAAATGTTTTACAAATAATGATTTTGGGAGTTCCTTTGATAACAGCATGCATTTTCTTTTTTCTTTTACATAGACGGAAGTTTGGTGATTCTAAACAGACGAGGGACAACTTTTCATTTAGTGCTTGAAAACAGGGAGTTGTGTACCATAAATGTAAATAGCAAACACAGACGAACAAGACAGGATCACACTGGGGTCAGATAGAGAACACAAAACCTATGTGTATAAGTAAGCCTTTATTTGTTTCCAGTTTAATGCTTATATCTTTGAGATTATTGGACAGCAAACTGGGGTTTTCAGCAGCTTTAGACGACCTCAACCATCTCCGTACAACTTCCATCTTTCCTTCTTATGTGTGTGTTTCCATTATGAAAAGTTTTTTGCGTGTCTAAGTGTACGACAGTGCAGCAAACTGTGTGTTGCCGTGAGTTATTGACAGACAGGCAGCAGTGTCTATATGCTCAGTAATACAGCCGGTCCGTCCTGTTAGAAGGCAAACACACACACACTGTACACTATTATGATCGAGTTGTGACGCAGAACACTTTTATCACTGTAATGACATCAGCGAGATGCACGCTAAACTAAACTGTGTGATTAAATGAGGTTAGTTTCACGCTGACACATCTTAATGGGATCTTCATGTTCTGTCAGTGATGGAAACTAAGTACAAGTTACATTTTTATGTATTTGACTGAGAGAGAAAATGAGTGACTTATCCATGTTGTGTTCCACAGACAACTTACAGCCAGAAGCAACAGCAAACACACTTGTGTGTCGTAACTGGACTTTTGAAATTAAAATAATTTCTTAGAATTATTAACTTGTGCTTGTGTGAATGGTGGTGTCATGTCTTTCTCACATTTTATGAGGGGAAACCCCCCTGTTTGTTCTTCAGGCAGTAAAAGAGGAAACTCTACTGGTTTGACTGATCGTCACAATCTCGCTGCGCATGCTCTTATTCTCTCTATGATGTATTTACTTTGACTGGTTCCAGTGATTATTCTCCAAGACTTGAATTGTTTCAGCTTCAAACAATCACAACTCAAAAGACCGCAGCCATTATGATTCAGTCAGATTTCACATCTGTGATTTGCTGGAGAAGCATTTCAATTTTGATGCAAACCAAAAAAACTCAACCTGTTATCTTCCATTCACCAAGTGAAGAGAGAATGAACGTGTCAGTATCACAGAAGACGACGTGAAATCCTGTTGTGTTTTTTTTCAGACATGAACAAGCAGCGACGTTGTACCAGAACATCAGTCTGACGGAGCCGAGACTGATTCCTCAGTTTGAGACAGTCATCCTGAACTTCACCAAAGAGATCAGACAGCAAAACTCAGAGATGGAGAATCTGGCCCTCGCCATCAAACGGTGAGAAACACACACACACACACACACACACACAGTATACTAATATGATCAAGTTGTGATGCGAGACTTTTATCACTGTAATTACCTTTTTGTTATGAGTCCAAGTTTAGGTACTTTTTAGGTACTTTAGAAATATATTGATTTTACATCAGTTCCTTTAAATGTATTTATCTTGGTCCTTATATCAGGTAAATATACTACACATTAGTTACATGATCAGTGAGAAATAAATGCTGTCATGCTCAGAATTTATCCTATAGTCCAAAAACTTGCTGGTTGGGTAAAGTTGGCGACTCAACACTGGCTTCACCTGCCCTGTGACCATGAAGAGGAAAATCCAGTGCCTTTAAATATTAGATGATGGAGGGATGGAGGTTTCTGGAGTAAAGTGACGTTTATCTCTTGTTTGCAGAGCGCAGGACCAGGCGTCGATGCAGCTCAGTGAGATGGAGGATGAGATGGACCAACGCATTTCCGCTGTGGAGAGAAAAACACGGGAGCAGGTGGGACAGACTCATCACATCCTTTCACATTCAAACGCATGCATAAACATGGCTTTGTGATTTCGTTTTAATATTGCAGGTCAGTGGATATGATGTGTTTCTGTCTGTGGAGCTTATGCAGGCCAAGAGATAAGCAGGGCGTGTTTATTCAGCTCTTCCCTCATGTCAAACAAGCCTGCATGGCCGGATATCACATTACTGATGCACTCTTGGACACACCTGCTGAGCAGCTGGATTTAACAGCTCTGTACATCTCAAACTGTGCAGCAGACACACAGAGGTGCTGGTTTAAGTCTCCAGTGTTCGACTGTACTGTAAACACATAGTTGTCATGATAAGAGTGGGGCAGCGTGTGTGTGTGTGTGTGTGTGTGTGCGTGTGTGCGTGTATAATCTGGAAACTGTTTTCTGAGAAAATCTTTCTGCCTTTTCTTGAACTTATGTAACTGTACTCAACTGACTCAGGAGCTGCTGTTTGCTTTGTAGGCAAAGTACACATGATTAGAGGGCACTCACCTGTTTCTCTCACACTGTAACCTGCACACAGCCATGTTGCTGCCTTCTGACACCTACAACACAGGAATCTATTTTTGGAAACTGGACGTAGACGGTTGCTGATAAACTTATCGATCAACCAGTTGCCTTCACCCATGTTTCAAAATGTAACCTAAAATAAGAATAGATTGAGTCACAGGCACAACAATACTGTAGAGATCACACACACACACACACACACACACACACACACACACATATACACAAACAAACACACACACACACACACACACACACTTATAACAAAGTCTTAAAGGTTCAGTGTGTAGAACTTAGTGACATCTAGTGGTGAAGTTGCAGCTAAATACCCTGCACCTCATCTCCCCCTCTGACCATGAAACAGAATCTGTGGCAGCCTTCAGTTGTCCTAAAAACTTGAAAGGGGTTTAGTTTTTCTAGTTTGGACTTCTGTATAAAACATAGTGACAAAAGACCTAGTTTGGTGACATCGTGAAGCAGTGTGGGATCATGGGAGTTTTTGTCTTGTCGGGTAGCTTGATTCCCTTGTGCGTTTGCACTTTACTGGCAGAGCCTCGTGACAAAACGTGCAATTAATGACAGTGAATAATCATGATCCATCATGAGTGACTAATACAAACTAGTCAGTTGTGTGTTTTTCCTTCATTCATCATTTGCCCTGGAAGATGGGCAAATAAAAGGTGCAAATGAAACTCCCCATTCATCTGGGTTTGAGCATTGTTCATTTTCTTATGATTTGATGGACTAATGGTCTAATAGCTAAACTTGTTATCAAAAAAATAGAAGCACACATATACACAAACACACACACTCACAGTTTGCACACTTCAATTTAAAGAGAATATCACAACGTTGCATTATTGAAATGAAGCCATTTGTTTGTGCTGGTTGTGTGTGTTTGTGCAGGAGAAGAAGCGAGGAGAGAACGAACTGAACGAGTTACGGAGAGGTTTCGAGACGGAAGTGTGTGAGCTGCAGTGTAAGATCCAGAGGATGCAGATGGTAAATATCTCTGTGGTAGTAAAGTTATTTACATGTCAAAATATATTTATTCCTTTTTCTAATCAATCTATTTTGTAAAACTACCTCTTCTGGAGATCGTTACAGTCAGATCAAAGTCGTGAAAACAGTGATGTGCTGTTTAATTGTCCCATTGACATGAAGCCTCACAGCAAAGGGTGCACTGCTGAAGAGACACTCGCCTTTGACTTTGGTTAAACACAAACAGGCCCGGAAGAGTTATTTGTACTGAACATACAGTATATGACTCGAAAACACTGGAACATTGAGTCATCTCTCGTTGACTCACTGCATTCATGAGAAGGTGAACGAATTGATGGACATTATTTGAACAATTTCTTTTCAGGCTTAGTATTATTCTCTGTTTGCATAACATTAGGATTCTATAGAGTCTATCCTCTTGGCTTTTATTTTGACTTTTGTAAAGTTCACTTCTGCTTTTAGTTAAGCACCTAACTAAGTTTTTGGATTTTGATTTAAAATGGAAAAAACAAAACAAACAGGTTTTGTCACCAAAACGGTTACTCTGAGCTCTGAACCTTCACATCAGCTAAAAGTCCAGAGGAAATGCAAACATAAAACTGAAAATAACATAAAAATGAATATACAAGACAAACAAAGATAGATCAGATGTAAAGAGTACAGTCCTGTAGTGAGAATGAGGCTGAAGGTTATCCACTGCTACATTTATGCAGAATTTACACATGGTTCACACTAGGGTTGGATGACATGGCCAAAAATTAATTAATTAAAATTAATATTTATATAAAATAATTATTGACATTGTAATATTGGCCAGCCCCAGTTTGTATGCTCATTATATTACTCTTTTAAATCTTGAAGTCAAATGACCTGAATCTATAATATGTGCTATCAGATCGAAGAGAAGTACAAGACCATCACTGTGAAAGACGAGAGTCCGGCTTTGAAGAAGAAGATCAACGAGCTGACACTGGTGAGACTGGGTCTGTCATTGCATAACATTTGTTTAATGTGCCAGAAGGATTTTGATCTCACGTCTCTTCTTGTAGCTTCACACGTCTCATATTTCTCAGTTTTCACCTCTCTCTCTCCTCTTGTCTTTGTGTCTGCAGGAGAACCAGCGTTTAAAGCAGGACCTGATGAAATCTCAGACCAAAGTGGCCTGTCTCCACAGTGAGATGGACTCGCTGAAGACAGAGATAACCGATCAAAGCATCAACTCTGAACGGTGAATTGATAGTCAGCATCATATTCTATTAGTCAGATTGTCACTGATCATACATGAGGGGATGTTTTTTACCACGAGAAGGAAATAGGTTTGTTGCACAAGACTTGACGTTATCTCCCACTCTTTCTTGCAAACACAAACGCACACTAATCCTTTAGGAAAATATCTAAAGGGAAAAGTCTAGAATTACTGATGACATGGAAGTGGTAGAGCCGGTTTTCTCCACCTTTCCTGATTTGTTAATTGTGAAGTTATAATATTTGCTCTCTGCGCTCCATCACACATGAAAAACTCCTAAAACCTCAACTTGCATTTCAAGCTTGTTTCGAGTCAGAAATAGTCCGACATTTGTTCTAGAGTAATCAGGTGTATCCATCTGGCCCCTTAAGCCCTGATGAGAGATATCAGAGACTTGGACAAAAAGAGGTGAGGACCTCAGTGTCCCCACTGGAGGGGGGTTCACTTTGTCACAGCTGAAACAGGATATCCTGGAGCAGCTTCACACACACAATAACTTCTTCAGAAGGGTTACTTAGCAACAGACGCAGCAGAGCCAACAGCAGTGTTACATTCCCCCTGCTCAGACCTCCTCATCACACACACACACACACACACACACACACAACTAAAAGTGTTGCATACTGAGTTTATTTTTGCATTTTTATTTATAATTTCAAATCTTTAAATTCTAACAAATTCAGACTAAGTCAAGTTGATATCTTTCAGATTAATATTTATGTTCAAATTTTAAACGTGTCTTGATGCAGGGACGAGGAGTTCATGAAACAATTCGCTGATGAGCGCGACATCCTGGAGAATCAGATCGAGATTCTGCAGTAAGTCAGGAAGTAACACACACACACACAAGCACATACACACGTATTGAGTAAAAGAAATGTTGTTTATTCCAATCTCTCGCTCTCTGTCTTTGTGTGTGTGTGTGTGTGTGTGTGTGTTAGGATAGCCAACAGGAAGCTCCATGATAGTAACGATGGCCTGAGAACAGCTCTGGAGAGGACATCAAGGGTATAGCTGCACAGTTAATTAAAACTTATTATTTGCAATAAGAAAAACAGACTTTGTGCTTTTATGCTTAAACTTATTTACACAATAAAAAAGACACATTCATTGGACGAGCAGATATTCAGGAAAATAATCACCAGTATGAATATATGTCAGTTCCACATTATATTCTACATTATATTCTACATTATATTATATATATATATCGTGTGTTTCAGTCTGGTACCGTCGGCTCACCTGCAGAGATGAAGAACAGAAGCAGAAGTAAAAGCATCTGCTACACATCCCCTTATGCGTTAATGGACAGGTCAGTGCATCACTCTTCTACTCATAGAAAGAAAGTAGTGGATTGTTACACAGTGATGAACTTTCATATTTTCTGAACAGTCAATTTGTTTTTAGTGGAGAGAGTCTGGATCACAGACTGTATTATTATTATATAATATTATTTCCAGTTGTTTCAAGAGCAGACGTTTAACTCTAAGTGGTAGATTTAGGATGTTATACTTGTTTGCATTGTTCAGGGTGTTTATTTCACAGTGGGTGTACCAACTCTGAGTCATTTGCATGTCCAGTGTAAAATGTATTAAATCAAGATGCTTTTGCTTGGAATTTAAAGCTTTTTCCTCCAGAACACGACTGTCTGTTTATACAGTAATCAGTAAAAATGTGCTGTTAGATGCTTATTTAAATTAAAAACAATTTTGTCCACAGAATATCTGTCTACTACTCTATATACATATACTGTATAATGTAGAGTATGAAGGTACCTGTTCCTGAGTTCATTTAAGTGTTTATTCACTTGAATGACCAGAAAAATAATATTGATATTGCAGAAACATGTCCTGGTTCCTCTGGGTAATAATAGTGATAGTTTCTAGGCTTTACTTTTCTTACCTCCATTTTGTTCTAGAGGATGCAGAGTTAGACTATGCAGGTTTTGTGTCATATCACATGAAAGATTATTTTCCCGGTGTCCTCCTCAGGTTCTGTCAGCGTGTGGACGACTACCCTCTGTACAACCGCCGGCCCAGCTGTGACACGCTGGCCTTGGCCATGTGCGACCCAGGCCTGAAGCGCAGGGACAGCAGTGAGTGCGAGGAGGACAGCCTGCCCGAGGTCTACATGGACAGCGGCCTGTCGACGCTCAGAGGCTCACACGGAGGCTACGACTCTGAGCAGGAGGTCAAATGTCAAGAGGAGGACGAGGAGGAGGAGGAGGAAAAGAAGGTGGAGGACAACAACAATGACAGCATGATGGGAGAAACTTCTGACACTGAGGTGAGAGGGAAAGTCAAACACAGACACACAACTGTACATGGGGTTCTTTTTTCATCTGCGTTTCTTTGTGTTTATGCTCATTAACAGGATTACTCCCCCCCCCCCCCAAAAAAAAAAAAAGAAAGTGTAATGTTAACATCTGCCTGTATCTCTCCATCACAGCCTGCAGAGATACAAGACAGTGAATCTGCATTTGGGTCGGACAGCAGCTCAGTGTTGGACTGGAAGCTGCCTGAACCCGCTAGTGTCGCTGATACCCCGGCACCGACAACACGGAAAGCCCTCACCGCCATCAGTGTTCAGGTGAGAGAGACAAGAAAGAAGGGAGGGTTTCCAAGAGAACATAAAAAGAGGAGTGAGAAGAAGTCACCTTATGTTGTTGAGAAATGTTCAAACACCAGCACATCATTACATGTGACATTCTGCTCCTTCAAGGACAGAAGAAGCAGAATGTTTTTCATTTATCAGCTGCTTCAGGGAACGTTTAGCAAACCTATCTGTGTGATCTACATTGTTGTCTCTAGACAAGTAGAAATTGTATAGTGGTCAAAGCCAAAGTACATGTGCAGATTCATGTTATCACTCTGCCTCTGTCCCCTCTGCAGAAGGACCGGGGCAGCGTTGACCAGGGCTGCGTGACCTCAGAGAAAGCCTTCAGGATCGTGTTGGCCGGAGACGCTGCTGTGGGAAAGTCCAGCTTCCTGCTGCGTATCTGCAAGAACGAATTCAAAATAAACTCCAACGCAACTTTGGGTAAGTTACATGAAACAAAACTCTCTTTTAGTCATTTCTGGCTTAGTATCAAATTGGCAAATAATATTCCCCAAGAAATAAATGCTTGGAGGAAGTGGCAGCTGACAGATTAATGGTTAATCAGTCAGTTAATGGTCAGATTCCTGGGATGGCTATAGTTTAAATAAGCCCTTGACTATTGTGTGACTTTGTAAAATGTGATGTGTCCTTAGTTTTATTAGTTTAGCAGTGTGATGTGTTTTATTTTGACTTTTTGTGTGTTCAGGAGTGGATTTTCAAATCAAGACACTAATTGTAGATGGAGAGCCTGTTTTACTACAGCTATGGGACACTGCAGGACAGGAAAGGTGTGTTATATTGTTTTTATTATTATATATGTACAAAAAAGTATCATGAGATATGCAACATTTCAAAAAAGTAGAGCCTGGCCGATTTATTGGTTGGTCGATAAAATCAGTCACAGACATATCGCTTATAGAGTTTATGTTTGTTGATATAAAATCAATGATTTTACAGAATAAAGAATGTAGAAAAGCTGTGCATTTATATTTACACTTTACATGAGCAAAACATATTTTCTTAATTCAAGACAGGCTATCTTTGGTTGTATTTGTGTTTTATCTTTATTTAAAATTATTTGTAATATGGTTCATGGTAACTGTAAAATATATCAACTGAAATAAAATAGAAGTTTTGAATTTACTTTCAATATTATATGGTTTGGATTTTCTTGAATTTTCTTATATTTTATATGAAACGAATTAATCTAATGTGTATATATATGTGTGTGTGTGTGTGTGTGTGTTGAACTATCCTCTCCCCTCACCTCAGGTTTCGCAGTATTGCAAAGTCTTATTTCCGGCGGGCGGACGGCGTGTTGCTGCTGTACGACATCTCCTGTGAAAAGAGCTTCCTGAATGTGAGAGAGTGGGTGGACATGATCGAGGTAATAAAGGCGCTCTGAGGGAACAATTACTGACGAACTAACTATCACAGTATTTGACAAACAAACACAAGTGAAGGTGAAATTTGTCGACCTTCTGTAACGGCAGTGTTTGTGTTATTTTAAGATACCTAATGTTAACGTGTTTAATACCAAACTAAAGGTTCTTGCTTGTTTCCCTCTTCTTACATGCAGCAGACGTGTAAGTGTTGAGTGTAAAGCATGCACAGATTGTGTTGTGCTGTTTTATTGTGGGCATGTTAAAACATTTCTGCATGTTGTATTTTGTGGCCTGTGACAATCTTTTATGTGTTGTCTGATACGATGCACTATGTAATAATATTACTATGTAATATTTCTTATATTATTTCTTATTTTTTTATATTTCTTTATTTTATTTTTATTTGATCTTACACATACATTTACCATCGAGCTAAATTTGTCCAACAATAGTTGGCATTCTGCAGAATTTGTTTTTCATTTGTTCCTGTTTAACTAGTTTTTCTGTTTTTCTGATGCTTAGCAGGACGTGTCTCTGGAGGATATTCCCATCATGCTCGTGGGTAATAAGTGTGATCTCAGACAATATGAAGTTAACTGTGTTCCCACCAGCTATGGAGAAAAGCTGGCCATGGTAAACATCCACTATCATCTATGTTTAATTCCAAGTCATAACCTGTAACTAACTGGGATTAGCAGTAAAAAAAAAAGATTGATTATGGATTAGTGATTTTCTGTCTCTACCCACCAGACATACAACACTCTGTTCTGTGAAACTAGCGCCAAAGATGGCTCCAACATCCTCGAGGCCGTGCTGCATCTGGCCAGGTGAGATGTTCCGTTTATTTCCGTCTGATACGTGTATGAACCAAACACAGCAGTGGATGAGACTCGGCCTTGAGATTAAATATTAGACTCTTCTTCTGTGTTTTTTTATTCCTACAAGTTGTCAGAAACATGCTGTATTATTGTTATTTTTCTATCCGCCCAATCCTTCAGGTTTGATTCAAATATTCAGTTGGACTCAAAGAAAAACGCATTTGTCTTTAGTGGTCAAAGGGCAGAGGTCACTTTGACCTCACATGTTAAATCTTTTGCCTTGTGAACCTGATATCTCAAGTCTGCCTGGAGGAAAAGTGTGAATTTTAACTTTCATTTCACTAGTTCTTTTTCTCTGCCCCCCACAGGCAGGTAAAAGAACAGGCTGCCTTGAATAATAAGAGTCACTATCAGTCGCTGCCCAGTCTGGACGCTCCCCGGAAGAAACCAAACTTCTCGTGTTGCACCTGATCAGACTCCTCATTTCTGGACCTGCACATCTGACTTAATGTGAACTCAAGAAGGAAAACAAATGCAGAAACCTGACAAAACCGGAATGAGATCCCTGCAACAGGAACAAATCATCACCCTCAATAACCACAACTGCTTAATGTTACAATGGATCAAGTGAACTAAGAGGATCACAGCAGAATATCCGCAACGTCACATTCATTTTAGATGTTTTCTTCTGTTATTTAGGTTTATTTAAAAATAACATACTGAGTTTGTTTCAGCCACAGCATGAATTCTCATCTGTTCCATATTTTACCATGTAATGTTGGTTATTATTATGCTGTCACACTTTTTTGCACAATTTCTTCCCTCCTGTGTGAAATGGTTTGTGCAGTCAGCTCTGCCTGGTTCTGGCATGTTGTGAAAATAATCCCTGCAGATCATGAGACGAGAAAGAGGCCTGTGAAAGTGAAGTCATAAGTGTTGCTCCTTTGGTTGCGAGGGTTTTCCTGTGGGGACGCTGGTTTCCTCCCACGGGCTGAAGACGTGTAGGTTCAATTAACTTGCGACTCTAAATCGAATGTGAATGTGAATGACTGTCGACATGGAGACACAGAAAATAGTGTGAAGAACCTAAAGCAACACTATGCAACTTTATTTTAACTTTAAAATAGCATCTTTAAAACTGACAGATTTGTAACAGTGTATTTTAGTTTAATCAAATTTTATTTCTATGGCCTCATAGTGTCTGATAATCTAAATCCTCTGCACTTAAACCTAGATTGAGGAAAAACTACCAAAAACACAAAGACACCTCAGGTCGCATGTGAGGGATCCCTCTCCTGGGACGGACAGCAGTGCAATAGATCAACAAAATAACACTTTAACAACATTCATGAGAAATGACAGTGTAGATGGAAATGTGTATCAATGTGGATGTGTATCAAGATTTTATGCAAAAAGAAAAATGACAAGTAAAAACTTCCCTGAACAGACCTTTTTAAATGTGACTGTACTATTACGTAGTGTAGTGACGGGGGCGACGCAGTCCGAACTCCACATGAAAACCACTTCATCCTCATCATGAGTGGCTGCAGAGGGCGCTGTTGCTCAGTTAAAGTTACATGGTGTTGCTTTAAAGACATAAATGCTCAGCCTCTTGACTGTGTAAGATGCAGTGTGTGACCGTATGAGACTTCATGTTAATGTGCCGACCCATTCTTTTTTATTATATTACCCACAGTGTTATATTTCTTTCTTTTGACCTCCTGCTGAGGATGATGCTGTGTTACAGATTTTATATTTTTGAAGCTGAACATATCGCACATCATTTTCAATTTGCATGAATGCTAAAAATATATGCCGTCATTTTATCAGTAAATCATCTGGAATGAGTTAGAATTAAATAGGTAAGCGTAAATGTAGGATTGCAGAGCCCTTATTTTTATCCTTCTGATACACTAGATGTTTGTAATTCTGTTTAAATGTGAGCACATGACCTTGGTAAAGTGTCGCTACTGATGTGATAGAGTGTCTTATTATTTTCCTTGATAATAAAAATAACGCCACATTATCAGGCTGCTGAATTGTCACAAAGGCACTAAATAAATCAAAGTTATTATTACTATTAATGATAACTTATTATTATTACAGAATGGCTGAAGGAAATTAAATTTAAGTGTGATCATCTGTGAGATGTTACATATTTATGTGACATATGAGTGTTTATAGTGCAGATACATAGAGTATCTGTAGTAGTGTCCATGGAAATATAAGAAAAAGTGAAATGATTCGTAACTTTTCAACCCAGATGAGCTCCGTCACACAGTGATTGGTCATGAAAGGATTACTGAACCCTTTAGAAACCACATGGCTCACAGTCATGGAAGGGAACATGTCTCTCAGCTATTTATTTCCACACAAATTAAACTTGCCACATGCCACAACATCACAAGACTGACATCATCCTAAAAACTGAAT